ATATATGTGTGTGTGTGTAATAGAAGCATAAGTACTTGTGGGTTGGAGTGACATTCCATTTATCTCAAATTAAGTACTAGTGTTGTACACATACTTTTTCAATGGATTCACTTTGTAGTCACCATACTGAGCGGCACATGCTTCCTCGGCAGTAGTGCATGACCCAAGTCCACTTTCTCCTTTGTGGAAGCTCGCGGTATTCGCTATGATGCATCCACCAGCCACTACAGTTGCTAACGCAGCCCCTACACCTAATGCAATTTAAGCACTCATATTTCCTATTCACAAATTGTATTTCGAACAGAAAGTGTGTCTATTGCTTTGTGCTTACTACAGACGTTACTGATGTCCAAATTTCCAAGTGCAGATGACTGATATATACAAGTAATCGGTTTGATCTAAATATTAAGTTTATGTGAAAGGTGAAAACTGGTACCACACAGTGAAACAGCGCACAAAAAACATATCTCAAAATTGTCAGGAATTGCCACAACAAGAAGGAAAGAAGCCGCAGGGCGCAGGATGTATTTCTACTAGTAGTATGCAGAATCAAGAATGTACTATTCATCACTGGACCTCGGCCCTTTCTCTGGGATACATATTGGTCAGATGTATTATAATACCGTCTTAGAGGAGTTAGTCAGCTAGGCCCTTGGACCTATTTAGGTGATGGTCTGAAGTCTGAACTCTATACTCTGAACTCTGAACTCAAATGGATGAAATGGAACTTATGTTGAATATTTCGTGTTTTTTTTTTAAAACATAGAAAAATTACTCTTTCACTTTGCTGTTTTTTTTAATTAAAATACCATTGGAGAAGTGGAGCCAGCTTCTGAGTGATACAGATTGCAATCTGCAAGCAAGACGTAAATACGATTTTTATATATTTACATAAACAAACATGAAAATATTTAATTGCCATATTTGTGACATTATTTTCAATCGGCCGCTTCAATCGACCGTTTTTAGGATTAATCCGCAATTTCTTTATTCTACATCACTCGTAAATTCAGGGCTCACTGCCTCACTCTCAGGCTTGGCCAAGCTTTGGCAGTCAACCAGTTGCTGACCAGAGCGCTAATGGAAATGGAACATAAGCAAACGTGTACATAAGGAATTTTAAATACACTATACATTGCTATGTAAATTTTCTATGTACTGTACTAAAAATATCCAGAAGCTCACTTTTCAAGAGTCAGGCCTCAAGTTGCTCAACTGTCGAACGGGTTTCAACTTTCACATTGTCGCATTCTCAATCAGCTCCAGCATACTAGTGAATACTGAATCATAGTACATACTGGAATCTATACTTGTTGGTGTTTAACTACATACTCTATATATAGACAATGAGTCATCCGAGTTCAGTCTTACTCTCTCTAGTAGAGAGCTAGTAGCAAGACTTTACAGTAATACACTATACACTATATAGTGTACATACAAACTCTACACTCTACTACACTCTACAGTCTATAGTCTCTACTCTCACACCACTGTCAGTTTTGAAGCACATCGTATTTAGCCATCATGGTAAAGTATGGGCGATGGCCTATAGTAATTACAATAATAAAAATGTAAGTGGTGTATGTGCGATTACTTTCAAAGGCCTCTAAAAGGCGTTATACTTTTAACATGTTAGCTTCAATTTTGTCTACCTATTTGTGCCTGGTATAAGAATTTACATTTTGTTACAAGTTCTTACGTCTGACGACGTGTCGAGACCGTCGTAAACTAGAAAGCTACGTACCTCAACATGCCCGGACGACACACGACTTTTACTACAGTCATGAGTCTGATATACGTCATGATACTGACTCTTAATGAACAATTTATTTTGGTTTAAAAAAAAGAATTAAGGACTTTGTCGTTTACCATGCCTGCATGAACACTTATACACACATAGTTTTTTCATATTGTCCCCTCTAGCGCGCGCTCTCTCTCTCTCAGCACTGCACATGTACACACTCACATGTCACACATACGGACGCACATTATCACAGGACACAGAGTGCAAGTTTGAAGTCTGAAACTCCTCACTAGAGTGTCAGAGAGGAGCGACGCCTCAACCGAGGCCGGAGACACAGAGAGAGTCAGCTAATGTGAGGGAGTCGAGATGAGAGAGTCAAGCGAAAGAGAGTTGTTAGCGGTGGGATTGTGAGACTCGGTGTCACGGTGAGTGTTGTGAGTGTGAGTCTGTGAGATATTGAGTCTGTGATGAGAATGGAGCCTGGAAGGCTCGACATAACCTTGTATAGATCCGTTAAACTTTTAAAATCAAACATATACTACATACTGTTTCAGTGTCACGTTTATACGAGTGGGGCTAAATTTCAGGTCAGGCAATAGGCGTTTCCTCCTGACACCACATTCTAGTACTATCATTTACCGAGGCTAAATTTATAGAATGGGTGCAATTATACCAAAATACGATAAATACAGCGCCAACAACTAATCCATGACTGATGAGGCTAAAAAGTCTAAACGTCATGGACTCATGTTAGTGTTACTCAGTTAGGCAATTGCCAAATGCCAATAGGCCGCCCTGCCACCATGGACTTCACTTGGGACTCTGGGAATATAATAATATATATATTTATGTATGGAGTCATGGACAGACTGGCCCCTGGGGAGAGTGGAGACTGGAGAGTGGAGATTTCTTTTTTTTCCTTAAAAAAATACTTACTGTCATATTCATACTTCATAGCCAACTAAATAAATAAAACATTGCCTTAACAAAAAAATACAAAAAATGTAAAATAAAATAAAGTACACTGGTTTTTGATAAATTGAAACTTTTTGGTATTTTTTTTACTATGAATCGTTCTTGCATAAATTAAATAAAAGAAATGGGTCAGACCTGATAGGCTGAGACCGGTCAGTAATAAAAACTAAAATATTGCCTTTTTTGTTTTTTTTAAATTAGGGCTCAAAACCCAGTCACTGTGTGGGTGACTACTACTAGCTGGTGTATTTACAACTGTGAGTGATGTGACACTGATTCGTGAGACGTGTGCGTGTGCACTGTGTAGGCGTTCAAGGGTTGGGAAGTAAATAGACCACATGTCGGATGCTTTCCAAAATCTAAAAAGTTTTCAACACACAAAAGCATAGCCTTCTTCTAAAAAATGAACACAAAAGAGAGAGAAAACAGACCCGATTGTCTTAGGTCTCTTGGAACCGATCATAAATAGCGGATAGCCTCCATACAGGAACTAGAACATACCATAGTTTCTATGGACAAATTAATTGTATATTAAACGTGATAGAAAAAAAGAGAAGTATGGAGGGAACGCAGAGAGCGGATACCTCCCTGACTGTGGCTGTAGAGGGTGTCGTTTTCGAGAGAATATCGGCTTTTCTGAAGGAAAAATCTATACCCTTCAGCGTTTCTAAGCACGAGGTTAGTGTACTTCTTTGCAGATTTTAAATTTATTTGTGGTGATTTTGACAAGTGATTTTGATATGCACGCTCTCGTGGACGTTTATAAAGTATCAATCCCTTGTGATAAAAGGGAACAAAGTATGTCTGAATATTCAACTTTTCAAATCTTTATACTTGATACATTATGTACCTTGTTTCTTTCGTTGCTTTATATTTGACAACTAGAACAAAGTATCTGTGAGCGGACATCTTTTCGAATCATAATAGTTATTATTTGCTATACTACATATCATATTTCAAGCGTTGCTTTATATTTTACAACTCTAGAGTAATACGTGTACCCTCGGCAATTCGTGCGCATATTTCTGGATAGGGAAATAATTTATATGTTTACCAACATTTCCGCACGAGTATATGCACAGAATTGTAAGTATGACTATGTATTTGTTATGACAAATCGATTATAATATATACATATATACTCACGCGCGCGCACACACACACACACACACATATA